GTTTATGAAAGGGGTGTGTCCCTTTTTCTCATCGCAGAAAGTTGGGAGGTTGCCTAATCCCCTCTCCCCTCAATACCACTCATGGCCCCCTCTCACTCTTCCTGCTGTTGTAGGTTGAGCCCCAGTGTCCCATTGAAGTCTTAGCGATGTAAAATGAATACAAGATCAAACAGGGAGCCCTGCCAACGAAAGGTTAAAAGACAAACATTTTCATATGTGGCGGATAAAGCTCCACATTTTCAGGAACGCGCACATTGTTGCCAAGATGATAAAATGTTTTCCAGGGAAGCTCTGCTGCCGAAGCGGCGCACTTAATCTAGTTTACGCTTTCGTCTCAGAGGGATGCAGCTCTCTGCAATCCCATCGTGGCATATTTACTAAACTGGGGTGGAAAATAATGAATTCTCTATTCTCAAGAATAATTTGAAAAAATAAACCATGAAGACTCATTTACAAAAGTGTCTGGATTAAAAACGGTTCGTGTTGGTGCAGGCACCAACCAGGTTCAGACTTTCAGGTTCCAGCAGTCTGAATGTTTCTGAAAGTCTGGAACCGATTGGAGGCTGCAAGCAGAAGAGGCCGTTCTTATTTTCCACATGTAAATGAGAACAAGTACAAATATAGTGAATGAGAAGAAGTAATCTTTGCTGCAGCCTTCTCTGAATGGATCTCACCTTCCCTACATTAGCATCATTCACTTCCATGGTGGTGGCAGCCCACCTGCACCAGGAAAGGTATGGCACAGAACATTTTGCAGCACCTTGAGGAAGCCAGAAGGCACCTCAGGGTGCTGTGGTACCCGGGTTTAAAAAGGCTGCTATAGACATCTGTATGGGCTTTTCCCCATTTATGGTGTGTTATTTGGCTATTGGGTTGGTCCCAACACAGTACTGGGCATGTCTGGAGGAACTGAAGAGCCACAATGTGGAGGACAGAGGCTGATCAATGCAGATATTATTCCAACACCCTATTCTTTGATCCTTCAGATCCTGCTCATTCTAATCATTTCAAGCCCTGATGAAGAGGCACCCCCCAAAAACCTGTTTACTTTTTATATATAAAAACAAATAATGTAACCAATAAACTTGGTTATAAAATAAGTCTTGATGCTCTGCCTTCAACAAGCATAAAAAGAAGAAGTGCAGCAACAGAAAAAGAACAAATGGTCCATCGAATCTGCCATTTTGTTTTTACATTTTGGTCCAAGCATAGGCCTATGTTCATCCCAAGCATGTTCACATTCACCTACTGTGGATTGCCTCAGTACCTCCCTACAAATTCTGGGATGTCACAGAATGGCCTAGCTGGGTGAACTATTGAGCTGACTATTGAAAGCTGCTGCGCAGGTGAGTGTAAGGCAGCGTACGGCCACGTATTCCCATAGAGAAGGGCAGGGGCTGCGTACAAATCACACGCAGCACCTGTCCTTCCCGGGAGCTGCCCGATACGGCCGTGCACGCAGCGCGGATCTGTATGTGCCGGCCATTTCTCGTGTGAATGAGGCCTTACTGTGCAGTATGTAAAGCTCTGCATAAACTGTCAGTGCTATATACAGTAAATAATATTAATATTATTATTAATAAATAAATAAAATAAAGCAGAACTCCAGGCGGGTTTAAAAAGAAGATAATCCACGCAGGATAATATTCAATATAAGAAATTAAATCTATTTTTAAACTGAAGAATTTGGCTTAGTATCAGTTTCTTGCAATGCCCTGCACAGTGGAGCTCAGACTAGAAGAGGTTGAAGCAGCACAAGGAGCCAATCAGTTGCACAGCAGTACTAAGAAGGGACCTGCCGGCAGGACAAGAGAGCAGAGCAACAGAGAGAAGAGCTCATCAGTCCGCTGCTTCTCCTTCACTGCCCAATCACAGGCTAGGGGGCGTAGACAAGACCCAGTTGCATTATGTAACTCCAGTAGAGCACTGTTGGGTTTCTCAGCTGGTTGTGCTGTCTAACTGAGCAGTATAATAAATCTTCTGGTAGGTAAAACAGCTCCCATATACAGTATGTGTCATCTGTAAAGTTACCCACTTGCCTAAAGTTCAAATTTAAAGGCTTTCTACCCTAAAAATATGACGCAGAACGTAAATAAATTGCGAAAGTCACATAAAAAAAATGCTTTGAGGTAATTGACGGTAACACGGACTGAAAATACACTCAAATTCAAAAAATAAAGTGTCTTATAAATCCCCGTAGATTTGTTGGAAGTCCACTGCTTGTTTTTCCTTGAAAGGCGCGGGGATTAAAAGCTTACTCTGTTATTTTTTTGGAGATCTCAGAAAAAATGGATATTCTCTAGTGATGTGGTGCCTGCGGATCTAAATATTTATGTGACATGGTAAAGAATGTATCACGCTGACATTTAACCGCTTCAGCCCCTCATGCCAAAGGTTTGGGTCTCTTAGGAAGAGAAAAGATACAACTGGAAGCAGACCTCCACCCAGAACTAACAGGCAAGGTACACGCTTATAATGCCTTTAGAATTCAGGAAAACTGAATGGTTGGTCACAGTCGCGGGTTGTCTACCGACAACAATTTTAAGTGGAACTCTAGGCAAGTGACTCGATACACAGGTGGAACACCAATCTGTAAACTGTTTAACAAGCCAAAGGCTTTGGAGTTCTTTTGTGCCCTAAATTTATGACCAACTCATCTCCAATGCAGTTAGAGAAATACAGCTTGGTCACGGACCTCTCCCAGACTGTGAATGGATAGTGAGCACACTGATGAGGTCCTCTTGATGTCTTTTTCTGACAAGCAAGCTCTCTGTGTCAGACTGACA